CCAAACAACGTTATCTACTAGGTACAGTGTATCCATGGTAGACACCAGCCTTGTCACCAATATCATGATGAGAGGTCATTTCACAGAACAAACTTTAGAGAAACAAAGGGACTTGTGCACGTGGCTATGAGTCATGTAATTCATTCATTTACATATTCAGAAATGTCCACTTAGAGCATATGACCCAGTCAATGTGGCAGCGTACATCTGGCATCATCATTGTCTTAGTTAGGGTTTCTATTGCTGTGAAGAGATACACATGATCACAGCAACTCTTATGAAGGAAAAACATGTAATTGGGGCAGTTTACATTTTCAGAGGTTTGGTACATTATTATCATGATGCAACATGGTGGTGTGCAGGCAGACATGATGCTCAAGAAGTAGCTGAGTATTCTATATCTTGCAAGCAACTGGCAGTGGTCTGAGACTCTGGGTGGTATCTTGAACATATATGAGACCTCAAAGCCCACCTTCAAAGTGACACTTCCTCCAACAAGAAAACCACACCTACTCTAACAAGGCCACACCTCCTAATAGTGCCATTCCCTTTGGGAGTCATTTTCTTTCAAACCACCCCAGTCATATACACACGTTATCTGGTGACTCTAAGTACAGGCTAGGCATAAACTGCCCTTCTTGGTTAAAAAGCACAATATGAACTATTCAAAAAGAATATGGTTCATGACCACATATTTTGTATTGTTTACTCTACCAGATAAGGACAGATGCTGGGTTCAAAATTCAGAGATGAAAATCCCTGCTATGAAAAGCAACTGTGAGATAGCTTCTCTCCTAAGGCCTGGCCCAGACATCTCTGGTTCTCACCAGAGTTCAGTCCATTTGCCCTGGTGGGACAGTGTCATTATTTCATCCTTACTGGTTTCTTGTACTCTGTGAAATAGTTGTTCTCATCGGAGGCAACTTAGGAATGAACTTTGGTTATGCAGGTCATGATTTGGGGGTTCCAGAGGAGCTGACAATTTAAACCCTGGAGTAATCATCATAAAAATTAGATATTATTAACATTAGATATTTTTATTCCCACATTTTAAGGAACAGTGATTAAAACAAAATGACTGTTCTTTTATCTGTATAGCTGAGGGGCAATAGCATCTGAAAGCAATGTCCACATCTCCCTTCCTGGCTCCTATGATGGAAGCATCATGCTTCCAGCTACATTTTTTATAATGCAAGTTGAACTGAACATGTCACTGTGGGTCAGGTGTCTCAATGCCATAATCAATTTCCTGGGCAGGTCTGTCATTTGATGTTTTCATAGGCTGGGGCTTGGAAAACTACTACATCTGTGGTTCTAAATCTTTGGGTTGAGACCTTTGGAGCTTGTCAAACTACCCTCTTACAGTGGTCACCTAAGATCATTGGAAAACACAGATATTTACATTAGAATTAATAACAGTAGCAAAATTACAGCTATGAAGTAGTAACAAAAATAATTTTATGGTTAAGGGTCACGAGAACATGAAGAACTGTATTAAAGGATCACAGCATTAGGAAGGTTGAGAACCGCTGTCCCACACAATGAGCAAATTCAAAGTGAACACACCTGGCCATGCCTGAATGCTCACAGAAACAGAAACACAGACAAAGCCAGCCAAACTGCATACTCAAATGCTGTAATCCAAATGCCATTTCAGGGCCAAAGGAATTGGAGACTTAGATAAAAGCCTGCAAGGTTGTTACATTTGTCCCCAGGAGTTAATACAAAAGCATCTTTATTCATCTAGATGAGAACATGTTTATCAGACTTTCTGAGAAAGCCACCTTGCCTGCACTGCCTCAGGCTCCAGGAATCTCTACAGTGCTGAGAAGCTTGATTCCACAATAATCCATCAGAGAGGTGCATTTCATAGGTGAAGCAAATTGGGTGACTGAGGTCAAAAGGGACAGGCTAGGGGACTCCATGTCCTAAGCTCTCATCTCATTCAGTAGTTTCCCACTCCCTGTTTACTTTTGGGAATTCATTTTAACTCCTGGCACAGGGACCATGTGACGCCATCCCTCTATCTCCTCCCTTCTACCAAACAGCACAACTGAACTGTAACTTACAGACAGTGAGATGAAGGGAAAACAGATTTTCCTGTCTTACTTTTTGACCCCTGGGTTCTATTTTGTGTGTACTCTGCCCACAGTCCAAAGGGTAAATATGGGGAAGTGTGGAGAAGCTGAGAACATGGAGTCAAGGGGCCAGACCAAGATCCCCAGATCCCCATGCTCCTGGCTGGCTACAACCAATTCCTTATCGCACCTCTGCTGGCCTAACTTGACCCTCCCACCTGAAAAAGCCAGCTCAGGTGTCCCGCGCCCGCTCTGTATTCCTCGCCAGTAAGAAATACATGCAGGACATTCGGATCCTTCTGTAGACAAGCTTTAATGCATTAGACTGAATAGAGACTGAGCAGAGACTGAGCAGAGACTGAGCAGAGACATTGAACCAAGAAAACCATCCCTATATAAAAGGCTGACCAGCCGCCTGGGACGTATTACCCTATGAATGGCTTTAGCTCCTCAGGCTAAAATGAGCCATGGGATAGGCAGAGATCAAAGGAATGGAGATAACCCGGCGCCTGTGAAGTAATTTACACCTTGGTGTCTTCAGGCAGCATTATAATGTAGGAACCGGCTTCCTACATATCATCCTTTTTTTATTAATTAATGAAAAGGCTTTATATTATTATAAGCAAATAGGTCACCCATATGTTGAGGGATAGAGGCAGGGGTTGACCTTCCCAAAATCAAACATTAAGCAGCATCCCTCTTTGGGGCTGTACAAACCAGACACTCTACCCTGTGTAGTGAGCCTAGGCTCCGGGTGTGCAAGAGCTGTCTGGCCGGCGGCCTATCGCTTAGCCAAAATATAAGCGCTTGGATGATCTCTTGGTTTGAGCCCTGGAGCTTACATGCCAGCCAAAGAAGTAACAGCATTTCGCAGGCG